CCAGCGGGCAAAGACGTCAATCAAACGTCTTACGAACGTCTTAACTAGGTCGCGACGTCTCAGACCAAATTAAGACATCCTAAAGACGTCTGGTAAAGACGTCTTTGTTAGGACGTCCTTGTGACGTTAATATAAAGACGATATCAGGACTTCAATATTTAGACGTCCTATTGACGTCGCTAAAACCTTAGAAATAAGTAGAAAAACTAATACTATCAACTTGGCGCATACAATATAATGCGCTAACTCGGTTAATTAAATATGTCTACTTGTTTTGGTTGATTATTTTGGTAAGCGAAAGATACTATGACTCAAAATGAGGTCTTGATTTTTTAAAAAAACGAAGACCAGATATATTACTAATTTTAGGAGAAATGTAGGAGAGTGCTGCTACATCGATTGATCTATACCTGTCTTAACCCAAACCCTCTGTCGATGTAGCAGCATTCCCTTGCATGTTATCTCTAAATAAGTCAATGTAGAAGCACTCTCCTACATTTCTCCCTAATTCAGTAATATATCTGGTCTTCGTTTTTTAAAAAGTCAAAACCTCATTTTGAGTCATAGTATATAGTATATATATATATATATATATATATATATATATATATATATATATATATATATATATATATATATATATATATATATATATATATATATATATATATATATATATATATATATATATATATATATTAATATATTATATATATGTAGCATGAAACTTGAGAATTTTTGCATTATTCAGTTTAAATCTACCTTTTTTCAATCATATATAGGAGGTACTATTTACTATTTTATATACTATTTATATGGCTTTACTTATATATTTTACTTTTCAGAGTTTTAGAAAAAATGTATATCCCAACTTGCTGAAATGAAAAAACTTTTAGTAGATAGAACTGCACTGTTCTCTAATAATCCAGAAGAAGGTTTTAAACAACGTAAAAGTTCAAAAAATTTAATGTTTTGAAATAAAAATTTGCAAATGGAGATATCCAATACATCACTTTTGTATACATGAGTTTCAACTTTATATTTTATATGTTATATATTATTACAATATTTATTTTAAATTGTCATAAACATTTTCAATGTTTCTAATACATTGTTTCTTTTTAGGTAAAAGAGTTATATTAATTGGGGATAAAAATCTAGCTGATACAATTAAAAATATTTTGCTCTTGTAAGTAATTAGCAAAAGATTGAATTTTAACATTTATGACTGACAGTACAGCCTTTATCTTCTTTTTTATATATGTAGACTGCCAACAGACACTATTTTGTCAGAATACAGCATGAATTGTCTAAAGAAGAAAAAAAAGTTTAAAGAGTTGACAAGTCTATGCTACGCTGTCACTGGTATTCTTATTAGCTTATTAATGTGTTTGATTAATTAAAAATTAAAAATGTTTTAATTTAAAAAAAATTAATTTCTTTGGCTATAGAACATGACATGTATTCAAGTGTATGTATACATGACATGTATTTTTTTTAATAATCTTTTTGAAACATGTTTTGTTGTTTTTATTAAAAGCTGCTTTAAAGTCAAATGAAAACTTAACCAAAATGGATGCCATCCAACTTATTGGGAAAGTAATTAGGCATTCTTCTGACCGAATAAAGAGAACATCCACTAATATGGATTTCGATCAATTATGGCTTAATTAACTGTTGTATTTTTTTTTAAGCAATTTTCTTCTATTTATAATGCACTATCGATTATATTCTACAGTACCTATTAGTTTTTAATTTGAAAAATGTAACTTTGTTTGAAAAATTATTCTTATTTTTTGTAAAGTTATTAACTTATTTTAAATATATCAAATTACACTTTATTTACATTGATTTTTTTTATAACTTCTTTGCCTAGATTAAGGCAAATCTAAGGTTTGTGTTGTAAATCATTGCATTTTTATATATTTTTTAAAAGAATGTCTTCGTAAAATTCAAACGTCTCTAGGACGTCTGAAAAAGACGTCCTTAAGTCTTAAAAATTAGACCAGCCAGAGATGTCTCTAGAACGTCAAAAAACGTCTCTAAGACACCTTAAAAAGACGTCTTTAGGACGTCTGGAATAGACGTCCTCAAGCCTTTCATTTGAGACCAACTAAGGATGTCTTACAGACGAGACTTAAGACGTCTTACGGACGTCCTTAGGACGTCAAAATGCCCGCTGGGATGACGCATAACGGTTTACCTTTTGCAGTTTCAAATGTAATTGTATCAATTGTCTCAATAAGATTTGTTGTGCATGATTTGTTTGGAACAAAACCAGTTTGCTCCTCACATATAAGTCTATTTGAAACTAAATGTTGCAGAATTGTGTCCCGAATGAGCTTTTCGAACATTTTACAAATAACAGATGTTAGAGATACTGGTCTGTAGTTTTCTGGTTCAAGTTTTAATCCCCCTTTGTAAATTGGTTATATATATTTGCAACAGACCAGTGGTAAGGGACACATCCAGTGTCAAAGCTTAATTTGAAAATATGAACGATTGGGTCCACAAAATCTTCTGCAGCATGCTTTAAAACAAACGGACTAATTCCATCAAAACCCATCGCTTTTGACTCATCCATACTTTCTAACATTTTGAGAATTTTTTCAAAGGTAATCATATTAGATAACTTACTGGAATCGCACTGGTTTTTGCATCTTTGCAAGAATTCGGGTATTGGTTGGTCATTATCATTAACAAAGACTGACTGAAATTGCCTATTTAATATATCTGAAATGTCTGATATCTCAGTTGTAACTTGATCTTTTTTGTTCTTGATTGCTCTAATTTGCGTTTTAATGTTTTGTTTTCTATTTACGTATGAGAATAAAAGTTTTGGTGCAAGCTTTGCTCTCTTTACTAAATCCATTTCGTATTCTCGAGTTGATCTTTTGATTTGCTTTTTAACATTAGCACACATTTTGTTAAAAGCCTTTCGAGATTTTTGACTTTGCCGATGCAAATTTGAATAAAACATAGAATGTTTAATCTTTATTGCTTGTTTAACTTTTGCATCCAACCAGGGTTGACTATTCTTTTTTTTATTATTCAAAATAGTAATAAACAATCGACAAGATTCATTATATGTATAGAAAAATGACTCATAACATTCACAGGCTGATTTGTTATAAAAATGCTCAACCCAGTTGACTTGTTTCAAGTATTTATTCATTTGAAAAAAATTACTTTTTTTAAAGCAAAACTTATCTTTTGTGATTGTTACTAAGACTAGTAAAATATTGCCAAGTGATGGAGTAATGGTATCTTCCCTTTTCATAGTAGCCTAACTGTGGACCACATTGAAGAAAATCAATGCAATTTGGATTGCAAACTAAAACAAGATCAAGGGTGTTAACTGCTGAAACAGAGTCATTTTGTTTGAATGTTGGAAAATTTACTATTTGGTATAGAGAACAATCATTTAAAACTTTAATAAATTCATGTTCAATTGAGTTTGCATTTGATTGAATTATTGGACCATCATCTGTCCATTCTATATTAGGAAAATTGAAATCTCCGACCACTATGAGATCAGTGTATTTTTTTCCACTTTATGAAGCGGTTCTGATTGAGTCTAGAATCAATTTTGAGTAATCAGCTGTAGAGTTTGGTGGTCTATATACACAACCAACAATTAAATGAAAGTTATTACAATTTATTGAGCACCAGACTTGTTCGATCTCTTTGTTGTTAAGATGCACATTTACAATTTCTATATTTGTAAGTCTTTTATTTACATAAATGGCAACACCTCCTCCAATTCTATCTCTATCTGCCTGATACAGTTCATAGCCATCAATTATTTTAATCGAATCCAATTTAAACCAAGTTTCTGCAATTGCAATAACATCAATTTCATATGCCAAAGCAAGTGTGGACAGCTCAGATAATTTATTAGAGTTACAGGAGGTAGCAATAGTATAATAAAATTTAATTGGTTTATAGTTAGTACTAGTATTTTGCTTTAAATAAATAGGAAGTTTTACATTACTCAGGTTTTGGTAAGATTTATAAGATTGGCTGTTATGAGCCCCTCCGGGCCTGCTTGGCAATGCTCTCTTTGACAAATGGGTGAACTTTGCGGTTGCCAATGTCTTTTGTTGTAGTGACATCGATGCACAGTAATTTTCCGCTTCTAATGACAAATCGAAAGGCCTGGTTATTTTTGCGTTGCAAGTCCTCGTTCGCCTCCTTTCTCTCTTTATTTAATTGTGCGAATTCAGCCTGCTCATCAGGAGTGCGGTCAGGCCGTATATATACTTTTTTGTAGGCCTCAATAGTTGACAGTTTCCTTGCCGCAGCCAGCATATCGTTTCGTGCTACTTCATTCTCAAATTCAACAACTAACGGTTCAGATGCATTGTTTACCAAGGAAACTTTAGATTTTAATCTGAATGTTGATTTTATTATTATTCGTCTGTTCAGCGAACGTATTAATTCGTTGACCATGTTCTCGTCATCTGTCTTGCGATCCTTAATTATAGTTTTTTGTGAGTTAGGCAAACCAACAATTACAACATTTTTAGACTTTTTACTGGATAATATTTCATAACTTTTTGACACTTTGATTCTAGCATTATACAGCTCAGAACCTGGTTTGGCTAGTTGCTTAGCAATTTGGCTGTAACAAACAGCAGGTGAACTAGAAGGTGGTAAATTTGCATTGTTTTCTTCTAGTCTTTTTACTTTCTCACTAAGTTCAGCTATTTCTGCATCTTTTTCCTTTAATTTCACTTCAAATAGTTTAGCTTGTTGATTTAGTTTCACTTGAAAGTCATCCTTTAGCTCTTCAAATGCTTTGTTAATCATCAAAGCTATACAATTCTTTTGTTGGTCAGTGAGTTTAGTCATATCTCAACCAATGAAATGAAAGAGAAACAACCACTACAAACAACAGTGGATTACTTCTTTGATGTTGAGTTGACCTTTATAGGAGGGCTACCACTCTGAATACCAGTGGATTACCTCCCGTTCAGAATTATTAGAATATTTTATATCTTATTACACAGGGACTAAAAAGTTTCAGTATGTGTTTTTTTCCGTATATATATATATATATATATATATATATATATATATATATATATATATATATATATATATATATATATATATATATATATATATATATATTGCATTGGACAAAACATTTGCAACCAACATCAAACAATGCTAAAAGTGTTCCTAATTTTACATGTCTTAAAAACGAAACAAACTATACTGCCACAGTAAACAGTTCAGGAGACTGGAGTCAAAGCATGCCATGACATGAGCAATCAGCTGACAGGTGACAGCACGTAGGCAGAATTTCGTTGACAAGTGCCATTTCGCAGCGGACAAAACAAGAACAACTTTTTTGGTTTGTTTCATTTTCTTAAGTCTGGTCCGTGTCAACGTCACGGATGTTTTTTAATAATTAAAGGAAGTATCCAAAAGTTTCCAAAAGTTTCCAGAAGCATGCAGAAGTAATGCAGAATGTAACACGGTAAGCCTTGAGAAGCATGATCATTTATTTTTATTATTTTAATGACTTCAAGTGCAAAAACAGCTTCCGACAGTCTTGGATTAGAACTAAAAAATTAAATTATTGGCGATTACGTAAGTGGAATGTCACAAAAAAGTATTTGTGATAAATATCGCGTGAAAAAATGAACCGTATCAAGACTATGTTCCAAATAATGTTTTACGGGAAGTTGGAAGCAGATAACAAAGGTGGAAGACCGCGTTTTACCACTTCTAGAGAGGATTCTATGATCGTCAGATCCGTCAAGCAAGATCCCTGGATATCATCAATCGAGATACAAAAACAATTAGAGCTGCCTGTATTGGACCAAACAATCAGACGACGTGCTGTTGAAGCCGGGTTGTTTTCTCGACGCCCTGCAAAGAAACCGCTGATTTCACTATAGAACCAGAGGAAAAGACTCCTATTTGCTACATCTCATATTGACTGGAATGTGCAGAAATGGCGAACTGTCCTGTTCAGTGATGAATCGAAGTTCAACATCATTGGTAGCGATGACATTTGCCGTGTACGTCGACCGGCCGGAAAACACCTCGATTTACGTTACTGTCATAAAACCGTTAATTATGGTGGAGGCAATGTAATGATCTGGGGGTATTTTTCTGCTAACGGTCTAGATCCAATACATCGAATCGATGGAATAATGGACCGTTTCATGTATAAAAATATCCTGAAAGATGTTATGTTACCTCATGCTGAATGGAATATGCCAATAAAATGGATTTTTCAGCAAGACAACGATCCGAAACACACTGCAAAAGTAGTCAAGCAGTGGTTTCAAGACAACCACCTATCGGTGATGGATCGGCCGCCTCAATCTCCGGATCTCAAACTTATCGAGAACCTGTGGGAGATCATCAACCGCAGAATTAATCGTGTTCGTAATAAGGATCAACTGTTCAAACAAATCCAAAAGGCCTGAGCAGCGATTCCACAAAGTTTCATTGATCACCTGATTGAATCTATGCCTCGAAGATGCAAGGCTGTAATCGACAACAAAGGATTCGCCACGAAATATTGATAACGAAATAAAGCTTGGTCAACATTTTGTGGAATTGCACTTGTTTTATCCAGAAGGAAATCAACTTTTTTTAATACTTTTGATTAATTTATTCATTTTCGCGTACAAATAATGAACTTTGTGATGAATAAAACTTGAAGAACGTTGTCTCTAAACAGTTACATAGTTATTTCTCTAAATTAAAAAATGCAGCACTTTTATATAAAGAAACTAAATTAACATTATTTGGTTGCACTTGTTTAGTCCGATACTGTATATATATATATATATATATATATATATATATATATATATATATATATATATATATATATATATATATATATATATATATATATATATATATATATATATATATATATATATATATATATATATATAATATATATATATATATATATATATATATATATATGTATATTTATGCTGTATATACAATTGTTAACTCAGAGCTTCTCATTAATGAGATATGCCATAAAAGTCGCCCTTATATAAAAGACTTTGAAGACTAAAATGCAAGTCTTCGTGATTACTTACTTAAAGTATGTTCAAACTATATTAAACAAGTTATCTTATTCAGATGATACTTTAGATAACTTTAAAACTTCGTTCACAAGATTTAATAAAAAAATTAAGTTCGATATTCATCAGTTCTTGTTTAATGATGAAAAGTATGAAAATATATTAAGAGGAAGCTAAAAATTATATCGATCAAGTTTTTAAATATCACGTGAACAAGTTCTTTATAGTACTAGGTTTACATTTGTAACTGATTTTGGCCTAGGTTTACATTTGTAACTGATAATATTTTACCTTTAGTTCCGATTATACTGTGTAGTGATCAGTGTCCTTAAGGTGAAATCAGAATTAAAGACACAAGTTTACAATAGTCAATGTTACTGGAAGTGTTAGAAATGCCAAGTTAATAGTATTTCCCATAATGATTTATGTATCCTATGTGTTAAAAAAAAAAGAAGCAGAGTTTAATGAATGTATTCCAGAAATCAAAGCTTCTTTTACTGGTGCAAGTTGCAAATTATTTTTTTGTATATATTGTGCTAATTGTTGTTGGTCAATGTTTGCTTTTAGGTGTAAATGGTCTATTCATTAATTTTAAAAGTAACCGTATTGTTAGTTGCACAGGACGGGACTTGAGCTTTTTTTTTTGTAGTTGGTAATAAGATATTGTTTTGCTGCCCTATTTCCTATATGATTCGCTTTTCAATGATGACATGTGTTCTCAAATTATTTGTATGTGGAAAAACCTCGTTATCTAAGTCCGCATCTCATTCAATAGTTCAACCGTTTGTTTTGTTTGGCTTAGTTTGTGTTCAAATTCTGATTTAATTTTTCTGCGTTTTTTTTTTTATTACTTCTTAGACCTAATTTTGTTGTATCACCCGATAACGGTTTCAATATTGTTCAGTGCAACAGTACCATATCGCTCACACGAGTTATATCCTGAGTGATGCACATTTTACTTCATAAAAGCTCTGGCTAGAGCATCACAGAGAAAAGAACTAATGAAAACTGATAATATTTTTTAATTAAATATTAAACCATTGCTGTGCAAGTCTTTATAGTCATTTAAAAAATCATGCAAAAAATCATTTAAAGAATTAGGTTTACTGGCACCACAAAACATTAAACAAATAAATATATCACAAGTAGAAAACTTACAAAGTAGTGGCCATAACTCACAATTTGAAGACTTAAAAATAGGAAAAAACTTTCAAAATCCTATTTCTTATTCCAAAAATGATATAGTCCCCTCCACATTTTGAAAAAACAGCTATTTTACGTGGAGTGTGTAGTAATGTCCGGTAATCTTTAGGCACCTGCAAGCCTTCACCTTGTAAATTCTCCAAAATCTCATTTATTGATGCAGAAGACCATCCGTGCTTAATTGCACATATAGCAAGTTTTTCCTTTAACAATGATGCTTTACTTTCAACTTTATCAAAATTTGATAACGAACTTTCACCAGAAGATATAATTAAGTTATCATCTTTATCAATGGTGCTAATATTTTCATTAAAATCAATTTCATTATTTAAGGGGCAGAGTATTGGATTTAACGTAGACAAATTTTCATTAAACAAACTTTCATCGTCATCACTGCTAAAAATTAACATTTCTTGTAACTCTTTTTTTTTTCTTTCTATATTGCTTCATTTATTTTGCCATTCATTGAAAGTAAAAATCAAATCAAATTTTGAATAAAAGGTCATCATACATCAATGATATTTACAAATAGTAATGATACTAATCTGAAGTAAATACCTATAAAATTTAATTTAAATAAATAGTGATAACAATAAGAATAAAAACTAAGAAAAAAAGTGATAATTTTAAGAAAAGGAATAATAGTTATAGTAAAAATTATATAACGAAATTAACCACAAAAATAAAACTCATGATAACAACAAATATAATAATAAAAAAATTAACAATAATGTCAATAATAATAATTATTATTAATAATAACGATAACAACAATAATAATATAAAAATAATATTAGTTATAATTGAAAGTATAATAATAAAAAGTAAATACCAATTAATTGATAATAATAATATGGGAATGAAAGCAGTAACTATTAAAAAGTATGTATATGTATATAATAATAGTATAAATAATAATAATAATAAGGAACAACATTAGTACTTATCAAACATATAACAATAAAACAATAATAAAAGTAATAACAATAATATTCTAAATATAAAAAATGCAAAATATACACATACACAGACATAGTTGTGTACACATACATACATGTGTACACATACATATATACATACATACATACATACATACATACATACATACATACATACATACATACATACATACATACATACATACATACATACATACATACATACATACATACATACATACATACATACATACATACATATATACATACATACATACATTCATACATAAACACATACATACATACATATATACATTTATACATACATACATACTTTAAACATACCTACATACACATACACACATACATATATACTTACACACATACATATACACACACATATATATACACATACACACACATACATATATACCCACCAGGCCCGGTTTTAACAGTTTTCTATGTGTAGGCGAGATGCAAATTTGCCGCCGCAAAAATTAAAAATGCAATAATTTCCAATTTGAAGGAAAATAGAAAAACACTGAAAATCAAACTTTAATATAGAAAATAAAAAAACTCAATTTATACAAAAATAAAAAACAAAACAAATTCCATTCATGAAAAAATAAAAAACAAATCGTAATTAAAAGTGAATTTTCCTAGCTTTTAATTCTGCGAAATCTTTAACCAAATCTTCTATGTCCAAATGATCAGCAATTTCTTTCTCGATGGAAATCGTAGCTAGACCAACTAAACGATCTTGACACATTTATGATCTCAAATAGGATTTTATTATTTTCAGCTTTGAAAAGCTTCTTTCAGCACTAGCAACTGT